AGACAGACACTGACAAGCAAGTAAAGAGGCCAGGACATAGTCAACATATGACTCAAGAATCACAGGTAGGCCTAGAAGATAGAGCAACTATACAGCATTAATGAAAGAAATTCACATTACAATCTTCTACTTTCTAACACTACGGCTTTTATACTAGAGAACACTGTATACTGGATACAATAAACTGCTGAAATAATATACTATTGAAACGTTGATTTCTTTTGTACAAAAGTCATATAGGGAAAGTCCAGGAACAAAAAACAAATGACTGACAACAATCCACAAGAACACTACACAATATAGTCAAATCAGTAAGAGAAAGATAAATGGACTTCACCCCATGGTATACATAAACATGTAAATACAAAATAAATGTGAGTGAATACAATATTTGCAAAAAAAAATCCTTCCCCATGGACAACATATATTGCAAAATTGCCAGTTGTGAACTTTAAACCTCATTCATTATGATTCCCACATAAAGTTACAGAGAGAAAAAATGCATAATTATAGCAAGGGAAAATGCTTTCTCTTTTTCAGATTACAATGTACATAATAAATTCTGTTACTAACATTTTATGGAAACATTTTTGAGTGTACGTCCATTAAATTTGCACACATGCACTAGTACTAGTATCCAGAGAGATTTTGGATTTGTTAAAAATGAGCTGACATGGCTTGACACTATATCTAATTGGTGATGGGAATTGAAAAACCAGTTATAAAAAGTCTACAGAATTGTGAACAAATATTTTCGTGAATATCACTGATCGTGAAAGACGTCCATCGCAAAGTGTCTTATTATTAAAAATATTTCGAACAATTGTTTTATTCATATTTTCTCTCATAACCATATTAATTAAATGCTACATTGTCATGGAATATAATGCAGGATCTTTCTTTTCCTTTCAAGTGTGAAACTGCATTGCCCCCATGTGACCATAAATTGATCAATCACAGCACACAACCAAGACGTGATATTTATGTTTACTCATGGATCTATACTAGACCATGTTTACTTCTGCAGTAAATTACCGGTACATGTACTTAACCTAGAATAAGGGCAGCAAGAAATATTAGTAAGCCATTTGTATGAACAGCAGACGTCAACATAAATCCGATCATGTTATAATTACAGCAGTATTCTCACGTATAATTTTGAATATACCAACCTTATATACTGTTCACTCTCTCACAAAATGGCGACCACGTAACAGGCGAAGGAGACTCCGAACTTGAAACACAACAAACCGGGTGACAGTGACACTGCACTGGTCAACCACACGTTGTGTGTTTCTAAATTCGCAGTATTTCGACCTCCGAAATCCCCGAGTGTTCGCGTCCACTCGATCGCTACATACAAGACAACGTAACGGTAAGGTTGACAGCGACACTGCACTGGTCAACTTTATTCGTCACGTCTGATGTTAGAGGCAGAGCAGGGTGCCTTTGCTATTTATACCATATATTTCAGACCCTCTAACTTATCAATTATTCTCTCAATTTTGTTGCTACGTAAGATATGCTTATGTAGCCGATTCAGCAGATATGGCATATCAAATAGCTATTGATATTGTTAAACTAGTCGACTCAGCTCTATAAAAACATTGTCTTGTCGAAATTTAAATGATAAATACACTATAAATTGAAAATAAAACAAAAAACAATTAAAAAAATAGTCATCAAAAACAAGAACGGATTTTAAAAATGAAAATGGATTTTAGCTATTGTTGGAACACTTGTACAAGTGTATCAGGGGTTTTTCTAGAAAAAAACTGCAAGAATACACAGCAATTCAGTGGCGCCATCAAGTGAGGGAGATAGGGTTTTTCATACTAGGGTGTGAAATTGTTGATAATTCTAAGTTAAAATTGAGCATTCTATGGCTTCCTTGGGGCCAAAATTACTATAAGACAGGTC